TGGGAATAAAATGGGGGGAATGTGGGAAAAAATGGGAAAAAAAATGGGGGGAAAATTGGGATAAAATGGGAATAAAATGGGGAAAAATTGGGATAAAATGGGGGAAAAACGGGGAATAAAAAGGGGGAAAATTGGGAATAAAATGGGGAAAATTTGGGATAAAATGGGAATAAAATGGGGGAAAATTGGGATAAAATGGGGGAAAAATGGGGAATAATAAGGGGGAAAATTGGGAGTAAATTGGGGGAAAATTGGGAATAAAATGGGGAAAATGGGAATAAAATGGGGGAAAAATGGGAATAAAATGGGAATAAAATGGGGGAAAAATGGGAATAAAATGGGGAAAAATTGGGATAAAATGGGGGAAAAATTTGGAATAAAATGGGGGAAAATTGGGAATAAAATGGGGGAAAAATGGGAATAAAATGGGGGAAAAATTGGAATAAAATGGGAGTAAAGCAAAAAAAAAAGGGGGAAAAATAATTTGAAGAAAAAGAGGGAAAAAAAACCAGGAAGAAATGGAAAATAAATGGGAAAAAAAGGAATAAAAAATTGGAAATCCAGAAAAAAAAAAAAAAAAAGCAGAAAAAATGGAAGAGAAAAAGAGGAATTAATAAAAATCTGGGAATTTTGAGAATTCCTGAGTAAATTTTTCAGATTATTTCCTCTACTTTTATTGATTTCACCTCAATATTTCTCCCATTTTTTTTCTCAATTTTTTCCCTGTTTTTTCCTTGTTTTTCCCTAAATTTTCCACCATTTTTTACCCCAATTTTCCCTCATTTTCCCCAAAATTTTCCCCATTTTCTACCTATTTATTCTCATTTTTCCTTCCAATTTTTCCCAAAATTTTTCCCAATTTTAGCCCAAATTTCCCCAATTTTCCCAAATTTTTTCCCCAAATTTTCCCACAAACCCTCCCCAATTTTTCCCAAATTTTTCCTGATTTTTCCCCAATTTTCCAACATTTTCCCTCCATTTCCACCCCATGTTCTTCCATTTTTATCCCAAGTTTTTCCCATTTTTTCTTCTATTTTCCCCCCCAATTTTTCTCCATTTCCCCACAATTTTCTTAAATTTCTTTCCCATTTTTCCCTCATTTTTCCAATTTTTTCCAAGTTTTTATCAATTTCCCATTTTTCTCGTTTTTCCCTAATTTTCCCACAATTTTCCCCTGACTTTTCCTCAAGTATTCCCTGAATTTCTTCTCAATTTTCTCCATGTTTTCCTAATTTTTTCTCAAATTTTCCCCAATTTTTCCCCCAATTTTTCCCAATTTTCCCCCAATTATATCCCAAATTTTCCCCAATATTCTCCCAACTTTACTCCCAAATTTTCCCCAGTTTTCCCTCAAATTTCTCCCTTTTTTATCACTGTTTTCCACATTTTTCCCCCCAAATTTTCCCCAATTTTATCAGAAATTTTTCCCAATTTTCCTCAATTTTATTCCAAATTTTCCCCAAATTTCCCCTTAATTTTAACGTAAATTTTCCCCAATTAATTCCCAAATTTTCCCCAATTTTATCCCAAATTTTTTCCCAATTTTTCCCATTTTTTCCCCAATTTATTCCCTATTTCTCCCTAATTTTATCCCAATTTTCTCCATTTCTTCACAATTTTCCCCCAAATTTTATCTCAAATTTTCCTTTAATTTCCCCCAATTTTATCCTAAGTTTTTCCCAATTTTTTCCCATTTTTCCCCCAATTTATTCCCTATTATCCCCTAATTTTATCCCAAATTTTCCCCAATTTTATCCCAAATTTTATCCCAATTTCTCCCCAATTTTCTCCATTTTTCCCCACTTTTTTCCCAGATTTTCCCCTAATTTTATCCCAAATTTTTCCCAATTTCACCCAAATTTTTCCCAATTCTTCTCCCAAATTTTCCCCAAATTTATCCCAAATTTTATCCCAATTTCTCCCCAATTTTCTCCATTTTTTCCCCAATTTTATCCCAAATTTTCCTTTAATTTCCCCCAATTTTCTCCATTTTTGCCATGTTTTTTGCCAATTTTATCCCAAATTTATTCCCTATTTTTCCCTAATTTTATCCCAATTTTCTCCAATCTTTTCCCAATTTTTTCCCAATTTTTCCCCAATTTTCACCCAATTTTTTCCCAATTTTTCCCCATTTTTTACCAATTTTCCCCCAAATTTTTTCCTAATTTTTCCCCCAATTTTATCCCAAATTTTCCCCAATTTTTTCCCATTTTTTCCCCAATTTATTCCCTATTTTCCCCTAATTTTATCCCAATTTTTTCCATTTTTCCCCCAATTTTTTCCCCAATTTTTCCTTTAATTTCCCCCAATTTTCACCCAATTTTTCCCCAATTTTCACCCAATTTTTTCCCAAATTTTCCCCAATTTCTCCCCAATTTCTCCCCAATTTTTTCCCAATTTTCCCCCAATTTTCTCCCAATTTTCCCCAATTTCATCCCAATTTTTTCCCAATTTTCCTCAATTTTATCCCAAGTTTTTCCCAAATTTTATCCCAATTTTCCACAATTCTTCCACCAAATTTTCCCCAATTTTCTCCGTTTTTCATAAACTTTTCCCAATTTTTTTCCAATTTTTCCCGCAATTTTTTCCATTTTTATCCTCAAATTTTCCCAATTTTTTTCAATTTTTCCCCAATTTTCCCCCAAATTTTTTCCCAATTTTCTCCCAAATTTTACACAACTTTTCCCCATTTTTTCCATATTTTTCCCCAAAATTTCCCCAAATTTTCCCCAATTTTATCCCAATTTTTTCCCAATTTTTCCCCATTTTTACCAATTCTCCCCCAAATTTTCCCCAAATTTATCCCAAATTTTATCCCAATTTCTCCCCAATTTTCTCCATTTTTTGCCAATTTTATCCCAAATTTATTCTCTATTTTTCCCGAATTTTATCCCAATTTTCTCCAGTCTTTTCCCAATCTTTTCCCAATTTTTTCCCAGTTTTCCCTTAAATTCTCCCAATTTTTCCTTAAATTTCCCCCAATTTTCCCCATTTTTATCCCCCAATTTTTTCCTAATTTTTCCCCAATTTTTCCCCAATTTTTTCCCAATTTTTCCCCATTTTTTACCAATTTTCCCCCAATTTTTTTCCTAATTTTTCCCCAATTTTCCCCAATTTTATCCCAATTTTCCCCAATTTTTTCCCATTTTTTCCCCAATTTATTCCCTATTTTCCCCTAATTTTATCCCAATTTTTTCCATTTTTTCCCCAATTTTTCCTTTAATTTCCCCCAATTTTATCCCAATTTTTCCTTTAATTTCCCCCAAATTTATCCCAATTTTTCCTTTAATTTCCCCCAATTTTATCCCAATTTTTCCTTTAATTTCCCCCAATTTTATCCCAATTTTTCCCCAATTTTCACCCAATTTTTCCCCAAATTTTTCCCAATTTTCCCTCCCCCATTCCCACACTTCCCAGGATTCCCAGAATTCCCAGAATTCCCGGAATTCCCGGAATTCCCACCTGCAGCCCTGGTGGTGGCGCTCTCGTAGAGCGGGATTCCCTCTCCAGCGTTGTTGAAAGCCTTCAGGGAAATGACGTAATGGGAATTGGGCTCTGGAATGAGAGAAAATTCCCAAAAAAAAACGGGATTAGAAAGGTTTGGAAAAGTGGGAAAAAAATGGGGGAAAATTGGGAAAAATTGGGGAAAAATTGGGAAAAAATTGGGAAAAAACTGGGGGAAAATTGGGGAAAAACTGGGGGAAAATTGAAAAAATTGGGAAAAAAATTGGGAAAAAATTGGGAAAAAACTGGGGGAAAATTGGGGAAAAACTGGGGGAAATTGGGAAAAAATTGGGGGAAAATTGAAAAAAATTGGGAAAAAAATTGGGAAAAAATTGGGGGAAAATTGGGAAAAAACTGGGGAAAATTGGGAAAAAAAAATAGGAAAAATATTGGGAAAAAATTGGGGAAAAACTGGGGGAAAATTGGGGAAAATTGGGGGAAAATTGAAAAAAATTGGGAAAAAAATTGGGAAAAAATTGGGAAAAAACTGGGGGAAAATTGGGAAAAAATTGGGGGAAAATTGAGAAAAAATTGGGAAAAAACTGGGGGAAAATGGGGGAAAATTGGGAAAAAAATGGGAAAAAATTGGGGGAAAATTGGGAAAAAAATGGGGAAAAAATTGAGAAAAATTGGGAAAAAAATTGGGAAAAAACTGGGAAAAAACTGGGGGAAAATTGGGAAAAAATTGGGGGAAAATTGGGGAAAAACTGGGAAAAAAATTGGGGAAAATTGGGAAAAAATTGGGAAAAAAATGGGGGAAAATTGGGGGAAAATTGGGAAAAAATTGGGAAAAAAATGGGAAAAAATTGGGGGAAAATTGATAAAAAATTGGGAAAAAACTGGGGGAAAATTGGGAAAAAATTGGGGAAAATTGGGAAAAAATTGGGGAAAAAAATGGGGGAAAATTGGGAAAAAATTGGGGAAAAAATTGGGAAAAAAATGGGGGAAAATTGGGAAAAAATTGGGAAAAAAATGGGGGAAAATTGGGAAAAAATTGGGAAAAAAAATTGGGAAAAAATTGGGAAAAAAGTGGGGGAAAATTGAGAAAAAATTGGGAAGAAACTGGGGGAAAATTGGGGGAAAGTTGGGAAAAAAATGGGAAAAAATTGGGGGAAAATTGAGAAAAAATTGGGGGAAAAATTGGGAAAATATAGGGGAAAATTGGGAAAAATTGTGGGAAAATTTGGAATAAAATTGTGAAAAAAACGGGGAAAATTGGGAAAAAATTGGGAAAAAACTGGGGAAAAATTGGGGGAAAATTGGGGGAAAATTGGGAAAAAACTGGGGGAAAAATGGGAAAAAATTGGGGGAAAATTGGGGGAAAATTGGGAAAAAACTGGGAAAATTGGGAAAAAATTGGGGGAATTTGGGGAAAATTGGGAAAAAATGGAGAATAAATTGGGGAAAAATGGAGAATAAATTGGGAAAAATTTGAGAATAAATTGGTTAAAATTTGGGGAAAATTGGGGGAAAATTGGGGAAAAATTAGAGGGAAAATTGGGGAAAAGTTGGGAAAAAATTTGGAATGAAATTGGGAAAAAATTGGGAAAAAATTGGGAAAAAAATTGAGGAAAAATTGGGAAAAAACTGGGAGAAAATTGAGAATAAGTTGGGGAAAATTTGGGGGAATTTGGGGAAAAATGGGGAAAAATTGGGGGAAAATTGGGAAAAAATTGGAAACATTTGGGGAAAATTAGGGGGAAAATTAGGGAATAAACAGAGAAAATTAAGGAAAATTAGAGGAAAATGGAATATAATTGGGAAAAAATTGGAAACATTTGGGGAAAATTAGGGAATAAATAGAGAAAATTAAGGAAAATTAGAGGAAAATGGAATATAATTGGGAAAAAATTGGGGAAAATGGGAGAAAATTGGATAAAACTGGGGGAAAATGGGGATAAAATTGGGGGAAAAATGGGAAAAAATCAGGAAAATTGGGGGAAAGAATGGGAGGAAAATATTGAGAAAAATGAGGAAAAAATGGGGCCAAAAGATGTAAAAAAATGGGGAAGAAATAGGAAAAAATTGGGAAGAAAATCAGGAAAAAATGGGGAAAAAATTGAATAAATGGGGGTAAAATGGGGGGGAAAATCAGGAAAAATGAGGAAAAAAATGGGCAAAAATTATTAAAAAATTATTAAAAATTATTAAAAAATGGGAAAAAATGGGAAAAAATGGGAAAAATGGGAAAAAATCAGGAAACAAGAGAAAAATAGAAAGAAATCAGAAATATTGGGAAAAATAAGAAAAAAAAAGAAAAAATGAAATACAACATAAAAATCTGGGAAAAAAACAGAAAAAATGGGAAAAAAACAAAAAATGGGCAAAAAACAGAAAAAATGGAAAAAATCATAAAAAATGGAAAATCAGAAAAAAATGGGAAAAAATCAGAAAAAAATGGAAAAAAATGCAGAAAAAAATGGAAAAAAATTAGAACAAAATGAGAAAAAATGGGAAAATATCAGAAAAAAATGGGAAAAAATTGGGGAAAAAAATCATAAAAAAATGGAAAAAAAATCATAAAAAAATGGAGAAAAATCAGAAAAAACTGGAAAAAAAATCAGGAAAAATGAGATAAAAATAGGGTTAAAATTACTAAAAAATTGAAAAAAAGGGAAAAATGGGGGAAAAAAATCAGAGAAAAATCAGATGAAAAATGGAAAAAAAAAACAGAAAAAAATGTGAAAAAATCAGAAAAAAATGGAGAAAAAAGCCAGAAAAAAATGGAAAAAAAATTAGAACAAAATGAGAAAAAATGGGAAAAAATCAGAAAAAAATGGGAAAAAATTGGGGAAAAAAATCATAAAAAAATGGAAAAAAAATCAGAAAAAAATGGAGAAAAATCAGAAAAAACTGGAAAAAAAAATCAGGAAAAATGAGATAAAAATAGGGTTAAAATTACTAAAAAATGGAAAAAAGGGAAAAATGGGGGAAAAAAATCAGAGAAAAATCAGATGAAAAATGGAAAAAAAAAACAGAAAAAAATGGGAAAAAATCAGAAAAAAATGGAGAAAAAAGCCAGAAAAAAATGGAAAAAAAATTAGAACAAAATGAGAAAAAATGGGAAAAAATCAGAAAAAAATGGAAAAAAAATCAGAAAAAAATGGAGAAAAATCAGAAAAAACTGGAAAAAAAAATCAGGAAAAATGAGATAAAAATAGGGTTAAAATTACTAAAAAATGGAAAAAAGGGAAAAATGGGGGAAAAAAATCAGAGAAAAATCAGATGAAAAATGGAAAAAAAAAACAGAAAAAAATGTGAAAAAATCAGAAAAAAATGGAGAAAAAAGCCAGAAAAAAATGGAAAAAAAATTAGAACAAAATGAGAAAAAATGTGAAAAAATCAGAAAAAAATGAGAAAAAATTGGGGAAAAAAATCATAAAAAAATGGAAAAAAAATCAGAAAAAAATGGAGAAAAATCAGAAAAAACTGGAAAAAAAAATCAGGAAAAATGAGATAAAAATAGGGTTAAAATTACTAAAAAATGGAAAAAAGGGAAAAATGGGGGAAAAAAATCAGAGAAAAATCAGAAGAAAAATGGAAAAAAAAACAGAAAAAAATGTGAAAAAATCAGAAAAAAATGAGAAAAAATTGGGAAAAAAAATCAGAAAAAAATGTGAAAAAAATCAGAAAAAAATTGGAAAAAAATCAGGACAAATTTGGAATATTTTTCCCTGGGAAAAAAATCATGACTCACCCAAATTTTGGATGGAGTAGAAGCGCTGCCTGCTGTCCACCCTGACGGTGTCGGCGTAGGGGCTCCCGACTCCGTAACCGATGAGGAATCCCCGGATGAGAACGTTGGGATTGAGAGGAGGAGTCCAACTCATCACGATCCCAGTGGCCAGGGGACGAACGTGGAGGGAGCTGGGCTGGTCAGGAACTTGGGATTCTGGAATTTTGGGGGAAAAAATGAGAGAAATGAAAAAAAAAATGGTGAAAATTGGGCAAAAATCAGATTTTTCTCCAATTTTTTCCTGATTTTTCCCCCATTTTTCCCTTATTTTTTCCCCAAGTTTTCCCCATTTTAATCATTTTTACCCAAATTTTCTCCAGATTTTTCCCAAGTTTTCCAGATTTTTTTCCAGATTTTTTCCCAAATTTACCCCATTTTTTCCTAATTTTCCCACCATTTTTCCTTTTTTTTCCACCATTTTCCCAATTTTTTCTCCATTTTTTCCAAATTTTTCCCTCATTTTTCTCCCATTTTTTACCCCAATCATCCCCATTTTTTCCTGATCTTTTCTCCAATTTCTCCCCATTTTAATCCATTTTTTTTCCCAAATTTTCTCCAGATTTCTCCCCATTTTTCACAAATTTCCCCCATTTTTTCCTGATCTTTTCTCCAATTTCTCCCCATTTTAATCCATTTTTTTTCCCAAATTTTCTCCAGATTTCTCCCCATTTTTCACAAATTTCCCCCATTTTTTCCTGATCTTTTCTCCAATTTCTCCCCATTTTAATCCATTTTTTTTCCCAAATTTTCTCCAGATTTCTCCCCATTTTTCACAAATTTCCCCCATTTTTTCCTAATTTCTCCACCATTTTTCCTTTATTTTTCCCCCATTTTTCCCAATTTTTTCTCCCATTTTCCCCAATTTTTCCCCCAATTTTTCCCCAATTTTACCCCCATTTTTCCCCATTTAAATCCAGATTTTTTCCCAAGTTTTCTAAAGATTTTCCCCCATTTTTCCCCAAATTTACCCCATTTTTTCCTAATTTTCCCACCATTTTTCCTTTATTTTTCTACCATTTTCCCCAATTTTTTCTCCATTTTTTCCAAATTTTTCCCTCATTTTTCTCCCATTTTTTACCCCAATCATCCCCAGTTTTTCCTGATTTTTTCCCCCATTCTTCCCTAAGTTTCCCTCATTTTTCCCAATTTTTTCCCGATTTTTAACCAGATTTTCCCCAAATTTTATCTCATTTTTCCTGATTTTTTTCCTAATTTTTTTCCCATTTTTTCCCCATTTTACTCCAGATTTTTTTCCCAAGTTTCCCCCATTTTTTCCTATTTTTTTCACCATTTTTCCCTCATTTTTCCCAATTTTTTTTCCCAATTTTTAACCAGATTTTCCACAAATTTTCTCCCATTTTCCCAAATTTTTCCCCCATTTTTTGGATCCTTTTTTCCGCCAATTTTCCAAATTTTTTCCTGATTTTTTACCCCATTTTTTCCTAATTTCTCCCTCGAACGTGGAGGGAGCTGGGCTGGTCAGGAAATTGGGATTCTGGAATTTTTGGGGGAAAATGGGAGAAAAATGGGAAAAAATCCAGGAAAAAATGGAAAAAAAATGGGGAAAAAATGGAAAAAAATGGGGATAAAATGGGGAAAAAATGGGGAAGAAAATTGAAAAAAAAATAGGAAAAAAGTCAGGAAAAATGGGGGCAAAATAGAGAAAAATAGAAAACAAAATGGGGAGAAAATGGGGAAAAAAATCCAGGAAAAGAACTGAAAAAATGGGGAAAAAATCCAAGAAAAATGGGAAAAAATGGAAAAAATGGGAAAAATTTTGGGGAAAAATGGGGAAAAAATGGGAAAATTTTGGGTGAAAATGGGGGAGAAATGGGGAAAAAATGGAAGAAAAATGGGGAAAAATGGTAGAAAAATGGGGAAAAAATGGGGAAAAAATGGGGAAGAAAATGGGGAAAAAATGGGAAAAAATCCAGGAGAAAATGGGAAAAAAATCCAAGAAAAAATGGGGAAAAAATGGAAAAAATGGGAAAAATTTTGGGTAAATGGGGAAAAAATGGGGAAAAAATGGGGAAAATTTTGGGTGAAAATGGGGGGGAAATGGAGGAAAAAATGGGAGAAAAATGGGGAAGAAAATGGGGAAAAAAATGGGGAAGAAAATGGGTTAAAAATGGAAAAAAATAGGAAAAAGTCAGGAAAAATGGGGGCAAAATAGAGAAAAATAGAAAACGAAATGGGGAGAAAATGGGGAAAAAATCCAGGAAAAGAACTGAAAAAATGGGGAAAAAATGGGAAAAAATGGTGAAAAATGGGGATAAAATGGGGAAAAAATGGGGAGAAAATGGGGAAAAAATGGGGAAGAAAATGGGGAAAAAATGGAAAAAAAATAGGAAAAAAAAATCAGGAAAAACGGGGAGAAAATAAAGAAAAATAGAAAACAAAATGGGGAGAAAATGGGGAAAAAATGGGAAAAAATCCAGGAGAAAATGGGCAAATATCCAAGAAAAAATGGGAAAAAATTTGGGTAAAAATGGGGGAAAAATGGGGAAAATTCTGGGTGAAAATGGGGGAGAAATGGGGAAAAAATAGTAGAAAAATGGGGATAAAATGGGGAAAAATGGGGAAAATTCTGGGTGAAAATGGGGGAGAAATGGGGAAAAAATGGGAAAAATTTTGGGTAAAAATGGGGAAAAAATGGGGAAAAAATGGGGAAAATTTTGGGTGAAAATGGGGGGGAAATGGGGGAAAAAATGGGAGAAAAATGGGGAAGAAAATGGGGAAAAAAATGGGGAAGAAAATGGGTTAAAAATGGAAAAAAATAGGAAAAAGTCAGGAAAAATGGGGGCAAAATAGAGAAAAATAGAAAACGAAATGGGGAGAAAATGGGGAAAAAATTCCAGGAAGAAAACTGAAAAAATGGGGAAAAAATGGGAAAAAATGGTGAAAAATGGGGATAAAATGGGGAAAAAATGGGGAGAAAATGGGGAAAAAATGGGGAAGAAAATGGGGAAAAAATGGAAAAAAAATAGGAAAAAAAAATCAGGAAAAACGGGGAGAAAATAAAGAAAAATAGAAAACAAAATGGGGAGAAAATGGGGAAAAAATGGGAAAAAATCCAGGAGAAAATGGGCAAATATCCAAGAAAAAATGGGAAAAAATTTGGGTAAAAATGGGGGAAAAATGGGGAAAATTCTGGGTGAAAATGGGGGAGAAATGGGGAAAAAATGGGAAAAATTTTGGGTAAAAATGGGGAAAAAATGGGGAAAAAATGGGGAAAATTTTGGGTGAAAATGGGGGGAAATGGGGAAAAAAATGGGAAAAATGGGAGAAAAATGGGGAGGAAAATGGGGGGAAAATGGGGAAGAAAATGGGGGAAAAAATGGGGAAGAAAATGGAAAAAAATAGGAAAAAAGTCAGGAAAAATGGGGGCAAAATAGAGAAAAATAGAAAACAAAATGGGGAGAAAATGGGGAAAAAAATCCAGGAAAAAAATCCAGGAAAAAAATCCAGGAAAAAACGGGAAAAAATGGAAAAAAAATGGGAAAAATTTTGGGTTAAAATGGGGGGGAAATGGGAGAAAAAATGTGGAAAAATGGGGAGAAAATGGGGAAAAAATGGGAAAAAATGGGAAAAAATGGGGAAAAATTCAAAAATGAAAAAAAAAGAAAAAATTTTAAAAAAAAGTGGGGGAAAAAATGGGGAAAAATGGGAAAAAAACAGGAAAAATTTGGGGGAAAAAGGGAGAAAAATTGGAAAAGAATCCAGGAAAAAATAGGAAAAAAAAGGGGAAAAGAAAGGGAAAAAATCGGGAAAAAATGGGGGAAAATGGGGAAAAATGGAAAAAAAAAGGCAAAATTTTTGGGTGAAAATGGGGGGGAAATGGGGGAAAAAATGGGGAAAAATGGGAGAAAAATGGGAGAAAAATGGGGAAAATGGAAAAAAAAAATCAAAAAGAAATGGGAAAAAATCTGGGGAAAAATGGGAAAAAATCCAGGAAAAAAATCCAGGAAAAAATTGGACAAAATAGGGAAGAAATAGGGAAAAAATGGAAAAATTTTGGGAAAAAATGGTGGAGAAATGGGAAAAAATTGGGGAAAATTGGGACAAAAATGGGGAGAAAATGAGAAAAAATGAGGC